TATTGTTAAGGTTGTACTTCCATAGTTTCAGTTTTAGTATAGGGTAAACGAATACCATATTCCACTGATGTGGAAGAGTCGACTCTGATAGACAATGATGGATGATATACCAGAGCAACTTATTTGCATGTGAACTAAGGTGTTTTAATATTTTATTAGATACTTTGGATAGACCAGGAGCTTTACCATTTGGCAGTAGAGTGAGGATGTTGTACCACTTCTCAGCAGTGGGCAGGGCCATGAGTCCATCATAAATAGAGCTGTTAACATTATTTATTGGTGTATAAGAGAACTTCCAATCGTCTGGGATATCCATATTCTCATAAGAAGTGCCAGCAGCTAATTGGAAATGTTAATTAACTCTATTTTTGACATGTGTCTCATCAGTCAGAAGATCACGTGACCCAGATGCATTATCTAGACATCTATCTAATATGATAGTTTTCCTTGAACGATTCAGCACTGAATCGATCATTCGAGATAGAGCGGTCATATAATTATCTAACCTGCATTCAATCACTTGTTGTATTGATTCCAATTTAAATTCGTACTCGTGGAGTTTGGTCTTAATTAAGAGACAATTAAGGAGTATTTTCACACACAGAAACAAAGATATAAGAAGTAATGTGTTTGATGAAGGAGGTAATGCTATTAAATGGTATTCGAAGACGTTAGAGATCTCTTGGAATTTGTTGTATAATATGGACCAGTCTTCAGGTAAAATATCAGACTTGCAGGCTATCTTGATTTTCTTATTAAACTTATATAAAAATCTAAGATTTTTATAAAGTTTAGTTAATAAAGGAGGTTTCTTTAATTTATGTTGTCCAGATGATTTATATGACAGAATAATGTTATCAGCAGCTTTGATTATACAGGCTTGCAACAAGTCCCAGTAAAAATTGAGTTTGGTCTGGTTGAGTTTTGAGTTGAATTTTAATAGGCGCAGTTCACAACTGTTGGTAAGTACATCCATTTTATTTTTGTATTCCATCTAGAGATCATCGGTCATCTTATCATAATCGTATATCATCTTTTTTGGAATGTTACATTTGTTGTTCTTGACTTCAAGGTAATTATCTATGGAACAAGTTACAATTGCATAATCAGAAATTTGCAGTAACACAGATACAGTGTTACAAGTGTTAAAATTAAAGACACATTCCGCTGAAGTCCAAACAAAATCGATGCGAGAAGTTGAAATTGTCGATTTGAAAGTTGGATATTTGACCCAATCATTACTGTGTTTCAATGTGCATGCGTCAAACAAATGCAAATTTTGAAGCAACGAAAAAAATTCTTTTGCGCCTTTTGGGTTTTTATCTCAGTCCATATTAGCATTGAAATCCCCAGTTAGAATAATGTGAATTCCTTGGACATAGCATTATTGAGCAATTTTACTAATTCTTTTTGGACTAATTTTCTTGTTGAAATGTCGGATGGGGGCAAGTAACAGTTGATAAATCTTAATTTTTGTTTGTTGGTAAATTGGAGGTCGACATAAATAATTCTGTTGAGTAATTGTTTATGGTGAAAGACGTGATTGGCCAGTAATGGTCGAAGTAAAATGCTTATGCTAAAGCCAGTTCGATTATGAGATGATTCAGAACTGAAGAAGCCTACGAAGTTAGATGAGTGTTCAAAATTAAATGGTCGAATATGTTGTTGGAGGAAATTCGTTTCTTGTAGACCGATGGCATCTACATTTAAGGACAGATATTGTTCAATAAGGGAATGCTGTTTAGTGGTATTAGTGAAACTGTGGACATTATGTGAAGCAAAAGCTAAAACAGGAGAAGGGGTATGATTAAAAGAAGTGGTGTTAAGAATAGGTGCATCTTGTGCATTAATATCAGTAGAGACAGTGTTTATAATAAAGTTAATATTTTTGGACATCATTAAGGTAGCTCTTGACTTCATCATCAAAGGCTACATTAAGTGGGAAGATGTTGTTAGCTTGTTCTTGCGGAAGCAAATTATTTTTAATTAAGATGCTTTGGAAAGTAGTGCAGGAGTGAGCAAGCGTATTAATAGTTGTCGTGAATGATTTAAGTCTGGATTGGTGCATCTCATTCAGGATGCGTAATCTATCGATGATTTTTTGTTGTTTAACTACGGTGGAAACTGAAACATCGATATGTGGTTCAATATTGTTAATTATTTCATCAGAATTCATATTGTGTACCTCAGCCTCGACTGGAGTAACGACTTTAATGTTGAGTTGTCGTTCAATGGATTCAACACGTTTGATGGTGAAAGCCAAGTTGGTCATGATGATGGTTAGATTTTCAGAAAGGCTATTGAATTGGGACTTTACAAAATCCTTGAAATCATCTTCGTTGTTGGCGTGCATAAATCCACCTGCTTTAGTATCTTTATAAACTGTGCTATTAGGCGTGAAGCAGATAGTGTTATCAAAAATAATTTCTTCTTTCATGTTTGGTGGGACGTCATCGGACCATGAACTAGATTGTGGATCGCGTTTATTTTCAAAATATGAAGGTGGTTTGTTTCGATTATTATTGTTGTTATTAGGATTGTTGTTACTATTATTATTTCTAGGTGGGGTGGGTTGTTGATTGTTGTTCGTGGTTGATGGTGGTTTAGTAACATGGGCAAAGGTAATGTTCAGGTTAACTGTGTCTCTCATTTTTTTAGGTGGAGTCTTATAATTAGAGTACTGCACCGGTTGGAATCTCTGATAAAGATTTTGCATGTTCCGATCAGCTGGAGTTTTCCTACGTCATGGACATCCATTGGTTTTATGATTTGGGAAAGAGCAAATCGCACAAAGTTTGGCCTTCGAATCAGTCCAGGTCACGTGTTTACCATCTATGGTAAGATTCTCGTTAAAAAGAGCAGCTTCAATATCATCTGCGGAGGCAAAGTAAAAAAATGTGTGTTGTAAATTTTGGTAGTTAGACCAGGCTTTAGGAATGACCCAGGCAATAGCGTCAACTATATTTCCAATTTTCTCAAGATGTCTACCCATCGTGAACCTAGGAAGGCCGGCAAGTTTTGCTGAAAATTTTGAACATGTTAAAATATCTGCGTAAGATTGGTTACACATGTGGACTCTGACCATATCATTAAGTACGAATAGACTATAACAATCCTTTAGTTCCTTGAAATTTGCGTCTTCCGCGAAGGTAATAATGGCCTGTTGTCACATATTCTTTGTTTCTATTGTGAAACGGATGATCATTCTAAATTTAGCAAATGTTGTCTTGATCCTATGTTCCGTTGAATCCAAGGGGATTTCAGTTATCTTGATCGATCTTGCAGGGACATACGGTTGTGTGTGTACTACATTTAGTGGTAAGAATGTGTAATTTCCAAATTGGGTAATTGGACTGAACATGCATGATCTCGTTTATCCTGGTTGCGAAAGGAAATTTTAATTATGCGTTTCGATTGGTCATTCAGATGTTTAGCCAAGATCGCTCCTGAGAATAAATCGTATTTGTTGAAAAGCAAATCAACAACAGAAGAGACTTTTTGCTGCAGTGATGTTCCTGGAAATTCTTCGAGGGGAAAGTATCTGTGGAAAGAAGGCTTTTGACGCTCAAAGCTTGTACTGAGGACGTATTTTTGTCCAAGAAGTTCTCTGACGCGTTAAAACTAGCATTTATGTTGATAGTGGTAGTAGTTTTTTCTGGGGTCTCTTCTAAAGTTTCTTTCTCCTTGCCTTTTTTCGAAGGCGAAGGGTCTACATCTATAGATACTATTGGTTCTGAAGTTTCGGTAGTCTGTTGGGTTAGTGGAACTTCTACAGTTTGCGTTATATTTTGTTTTTTGGCTTTTTGCGTGTTAACGGTGAAGACAAACGTCCTCGTTGTTTTTGTTTTTGCTCGCTGTTTTTTTTGGTCATTTTTGGAATAAACTTTAAAATAATATTAATTATATTAATTCAATTCTTATTCTTAGGTTTTGATATTATTGGATAAATCTATCTCTAAATTAAGAAAGATAAATTTAATTTTTGAATAGCTATTATGGATTCAAGATGATTTATATATTTTGAGTTTTTATTAATACTCTGTGATATACATTTTTTGTTAAATGTAAAAATTGCAATTTTGATTTTAATCCATAATTTGTTTATATTAAAGAGGGTGGGTAAAAGATCTTTAAGTCATTTATGTTTATGATTATTATAAAAGTATTGATATATTCAGCAAATTCAATTTATTTTAATAATTCATAAATTCAGAATCAATTATTTATTTTGTATTATTTTAGATTTAGATGAGTTTAATATTTATTATTAGCAAGTAAGCATAAATAATTCTGTGATCCTATTTATATATATTATAATTAATAAAGTAAAAAAATAAATTAATATATGATTAATAAATTATATATGAATAAATATATTATGTTTTAATAAATCATATAAGTAAAAATCTTTAATTTAAAATTTTGATCAAAATGTAAGATTTTAATTACAATTAAATAATATTTTAAAAACTTAAATCTTATTAAAGTTAATTATTAAAATATTAATTATTAAAATATAATATATAAAATTTATAAATAATTAATAAATTTTTATTATTCAATTTTTTTTTTATATAAGTTTTTATTTCAAGTATTTTTGTTTTTTAATAATATTATGTTTTTTTTTATAAAAATGAGATAAAAAGAATCAATGATAATAATACAATTGAAAAAAAAAAAAAAAATCCAAATATTTATAAAAAAGATTTCTTTTTAAAAATTATCAAAAGAAAAGAATTTTTTTTGATTTTTTTTTTTTGATGATGCAATGTTAAAAGATACAATCAAAACTGTTATCATACATACATACAAATAAAAACTATATATAAAAAAAACTGTGTACATCTTTTTGTTTCAATCCAACCATATTTACAACAATTTATACCATATTTTTTTTTTTGAGATATTGTTTTTCACATGAAAATAAATCCAAAAATAACACAAGATTTTGTATAGAGAAAAAAATATATAAAATAAAATAAAAACATAACCCATGATTCTTATTGTCGGTTTCTCTCTAAAGAGCCACCCCCAGCTGTAACCTCACCAGCTACTTTCTTTGCCAATACCATGCGGAAATCTTCTATTCCATCCATATTTCCTATAAATATGGAATTGTTATTATTACCTACGCTATTTCGAGTTCCAGGAGCACTAGCACTAGATCCCATACTACTCGCTGAAGAAGCGCTTGCACTACGTTGCATTAACGCGGCAGGTTTTGGTAGCAATGGAGGAGGAGTCGCTGAACGTGGCTCCTCTAATGATTTACGCGTTGAAATTCCAGGTGCATACGTAAAAGGCTTTGCACCAGGAGAATTAGCCGAAGTAGTACGTCCATGAGCTTTCATAAACGTAGCAGTGGGACTTTTTGGTACTAGTTCAATACTAGATGAACTTCGAGAATGGGATGTTGCACGTAACATAGCAGTGGGACTTTTAGGAGTTTCGGTGGCTTCGTAACTGCCAAACATTACTCTCATATTTCTCCAGCTAGTTCTTTTATTACTAGATATTGGAGTTGGCATTATAATTGTTGGTTCTGCATGAATCCTGGAAAGTTCTACCTTACAAATTGTTTCTGCATTTTCTTTCTCTTTTTCAATATCACAAAATTTATTTTTCTCTTCCTTTTCTTTTTCATCACGTGCTTTGTCCATACTACTCCGTGATCCAAAGAAAAAATTTCCAACCTTTTCTGTAATGTTCCTTTTTTCCTTTTCTTTTTCTTTAACATTGCAAACTTCTTTATCTGAGATGGGCCCAGCCCTATCCAATTTAGATGTGATTGATGCCGTGGGTGTTACATCGATTCCTTCTTCCAAACTATGAGGACGCGAATCCCCGCTACCACTTGTTGAGCTAGCTCTCCCTATTCCACTAATAGGACTAGCGTTTCCTCCAGTACTCGTACCGCTTCCGCCAACAGTACTTCCCGTACTACCACGATATGCACTGCTAGCATTTGATATTACACTGTTTGGAGTACCACTCCACGAAGCTGTTCCGGATGCGCGACCGCCACTATGACCATTTTTGTGCTTATGTGGCTCACGTATTAGGCTCAATTCATCCACACTTTTTTCTGGAATCCATACCCTTGTTAATAGGTAATGTGATATTAACTGTTGCTTTTCTTCAATAGATTCATCTTCTTCTTCACCCCTATGATTATATTTATAACCACTGCTACGATGAAGAGCTGCACTAATACTTGCTGTACGAAAATGTTTGGTCGATGCTTTTATGAATGTTACTGGTGGAATAGGCTGATATTTAGGTCCATGTTGATATCTAATCATAGTTTGTAATAATTCTTGTACACGAGGATCTTCCTGTAAAAATTGCATTGCTCCAGGAGAAGATAGAGTTATCATTGATGTTGTAGAACGAGGAGTGGTTGGTACATGATTGTTATTATTATTAGACGATGATACCGAAATTGATGAACCTGCAGATTTAACAGCAGCCAATAAATAGGTAGCATCCATAATAAATGTTCCTAAAAATGGTATAGTAGGCTTCCTTAAGAAACCTTCTCGCTGTATGGTCTCTCGATACTTTTCATAGTTTCTCGTTTCACTCATCATATCACACAATGCTTCCAATCTTACCATACTCTTTTTCGGAATACAAGCCCATGTTCTTTTTAATCTTTTTATTGGTGGTGTTCCCAATGCAGCAAGGATTGCCTTTAAGGTTTGGAAATTATGTAATTCGTGTAACTTAACGGCTACTTTTACCCAGTGGTTCATAATTTGTGCACGTGAGGAAGCCTCTAAGGGTAATAGAATAGAACGTTCTATAACTCTTGTAAGATAATTAAAAAAGTCCGTTGAGGCAGTGATTTTTGAGTCAGGATTCTTTGCGGAATGTGTAAGAAGAGTCGTTGGATCTATTTCCAAAAAGATTGCAGACTCAATTAAAGTTAATTGATACGCAATCATATGAGGAGCAAATTCTAAAATATCCGGATCTGCGGCAGCTTTATAAACTAATTTGCGAGATTTTGTTATTGTATGTTTTAGACCAGCAACTGTAGCTCCATACTTCTCAATCGCCTCCTTAATTTCCTCATCTGGAAGTTCTGTCCGTGATAACTCGTCGGAGTCAGACTCTGACTTACCATCCTCTCTCTTTTTAGATATGTCACGATATTCTGACAATTTTTTTTCTAAAGTTAGAATTTTTTGTTCCAATTGAGTATGTTGAGTTAATAAAGGTGATGCTGGAATTTCAGGCACATGATATGAATACTGTGATGATGAAGGTGAACTTGGTGACTGTGCATTTTCGCTTTCAGTCAATGCGATAGCAGGTACCAAATTATTTGGATCAACGGCACCTTCAGGAATAACACTGATCATTTTTGGGCGTTGTTCAAATAAATTTGGCATCGATACTGGAACAGCTATTGCTCCATAAAATGAGGCAGGTGTTGTAGGGGATGTTAAATGTGAAGAATAAGGGCTCTCCTCATCCGTTGGCGAATCTGTTATAGAACTTGTTATAGAACCTGTTAGCGTAGGCCGCCTTCTAGATGTTGAAACAACACGGCCAGGAGATGAAGAGCGACGACGAAGTAATGTTTGTGAAATTGTAACATCTAAAGATGACTCTGATCTACGAAGATACGAACCTATAAAAAAAAGTGTTAAAAATACACAACAAATCAAATTAAACATGTGATTAAGTCATACCGTTTCTTTCAAAATCATCATCATCATCATCTGAATCAGAACTATCCGCATCGTCATCCTCACCTTCACCGGAAACAACATGAGCATCCCTACCACTGCCAGAAACCTCTATATCTACTAAATATTTTTTAATGCTAGCAGTTCGTACGGGTTTTGGCGGTAATGGAGGCTTTAAGGCTAGTAGTTCATTTTTGAGGGAATTTGACGATGATCCATCTTCGCATACTTTATTAAAAGATCTGCGCATTGGTTTCGGAGGTATTGGAGGAGCTCTGTGTGGTGATAAATCGTGCGGATGTTCCTCTTGTTGCGGTGTCGGTGGAAATATCGCTATATTGAGATTCGGATTTCTTCGTGGTACGGGTGGAGTTTGATGTTTTACTATGATATCTTCAGCATATGATAGGCATGTTCGAGATAAAGCAAAAATTGAAGAAAGAGACGCCGGTTTTGAAGCTACAACTATTAGATTGTACGAGTCAAGTTATAAAATATAGAAAGAGAGAATTTGGTTACATTTGGTCTCTTTAAAAATCTTTTATTTTCTTCTTTTTTTTTACTTAAGAAATTTCTCTCTAAAATTTAGATCAAACGGATCCTTTAACCGGTTTTGCACAACCGTTCAAGGAATAAATAAATAAATAATTTGAATTCTTACCATTATTTACAAATTTGATGTTATGTAGCTCCCTTGTTACTAAATCCAGTGCACTTATATATGAAAAGTAGGCATCCTGATTACATTACGCAAAGGATAATCAAATCAGACACATCAATTAAGATCAAGAATGTTAAATAAAAAAAAATGGATGTGGGTATAAATGCAAATTTTTTTATTTTTAATTTTTTTTTTTTTTGTTCATGTAAAAAAAAACAAATCACCTTTACATTTCCAGAAGATAAATAATCAGTGGCATCTTTCAAAAGTTCTTGTATATTATCCATAACTCTCTCTAACTTCCTCAACAACTTATTTTAAATAATTTGCAACTATTCACGTTAGTCGGAACCGCCACCTAAGCCCGTAATGCTTTCTTTTAACTTTCTTTTGTCGTTATAATATTGTTATGTTGCTTTTTGTTGTAAGTAAACACTTTTTTAGTTTTATAAGTACAGGACAAGAAAATAAAGTAAGAAACGATAAGCTTAAATGGTACATGTAAAGCTTGATGATCTTGTTAAATCAAACAAATGTCATTATCGTTACAGCAGAAAAAAGAGTTTGGGTAAAAAAAATAATTTCAATGATATCTTTGTCCTAATGTTTGTTAATTCTTTGAATTTATTATTTTTTTTTTATAATATATAATTATATACCGGGTGAAAACTAATTAGATTACACCCAAAAGAAAAATTATTTACAAGATGGAGTAAGAAAATATAAATTGGCTGGTTGAAGAACAAAAAAATAGTTCGGGAATATGAATATAATGAAACAAATAAATCAAGCGATGGTCTTGTAGTGCAATGGTGGTCTCGATGACCTTACGTCATACAGGGATGATAAGCTTCGGAGGGATAACTCAATTTATTAAAATCGAGAAGAGTCGACGACTCAACTCCAAATATGTACAGGCGTTAATTACTTACTTTATTTGGTATATGTGACAATAGTCATGTGATTTCCATAAAAGGATTTTTTTTTAAAACATTTTTACAATTTCGAAAATCTTTTTTCTAAAATTCCTTAATCATGGGAGTTAAAGGTTTATGGAAACTTATATCGCCTGTAGGCCGAAATGTTAAACTTGAGTCTTTAAACAATAAAAAACTCGCGATCGATATCCTTTATTTAGAATTCACGTGAACACTTTACAAGATTGTATTCTATTTTTATCCTTAATAAATAAATTACATGCTAGCATCTGGTTATATCAATTCTTAACTGCAATGCGTGATAAAGAAGGGAATGGACTAAAAAATGCACATTTATTGGGCTTTTTTAGAAGGATATGTAAACTTTTATTTTATAATATCAAACCAGTATTTGTGTTTGATGGTGGTGCTCCAGAATTGAAGCGGTTGACTTTGGTTCGTTTCAGTTCTACTTTTATTATTTTCTTTTTTATAATTAACTTTCAATAAAAGTACTCTGGACTTTTTTATAATATAGAATGAACGTCGTAAGAGACGAACCGGTAATGCCAATAATTTACAAAAGACTGCGGAAAAACTTTTGTCAGCGCAGTTAAGACTTCAAGCCATTCAGGAATCAAAGTAAGATAATGTTATTGACAATGGCAATTATTTTTTAATAAAAATCTTTTTTTAATTATGGAAATAATATTTCACATTATTTTTTTGAAAAAAAATAGAGGATCGTGTAAAAAAATAATAACTGACGATCATGAAAACAAAATGAGCAACTTGATTCCGGAATTCTTTAGTCGAAGAAAGCGAGATGAATATGATTTACCTTCCATATCTGGAGGAATTGAGTAAATATGATCATCAAAATTTGACAAAAAATATATAGGGTATATATATAAATAATTTATGTTATTATATAGAGCTATGGTCAATAAAGATGATCCTCGACTTGCAACTGAAGATGATCTCAGAAATTTTATTAAAGAATATAATAAGGCTTGTAAAACAAAATAATGATATTTTTGCGGAAATCATGTCATTTTCAATTGAATTTTGAATCATTCTGTTATTAAATATTAGCCTGAGGAAATAGATATTGACTCTGAAGCATTTAGATCCCTTCCTTTAGAAACACAATATGAAGTCATAGAAGAGCTTCGAAGCAAAAGTCGACGAACATCTTGGGATCGATTTCAAGAGATGTTCAACAGTGCTCAAATATCCTTTTAATTTAATTTTATACTCATAATATTATTTAATATTTTATTTTTTCTTAATTATTTATCATGTATACACCGCCATGGATTTTTCACAGCTTCAAATAAAATATCTAGTAAAAAGAAATAATTTAACACAAAAATTAATTGATGTTACAAGCAATGATACAAAATCAAATGACGCAACACCAAAACGCATAGTATCAGAACGTAATAAAAAATATGTATTGATAAAAAACAAAGAAGGAAGTACGGGGTGGACAATGAGTTCTGTAGATGAAAATAAATCCGAGAAATATGATAAGCAAGGTCATCATACAGTTGAAAGGCCGGTTTATATGAATGATAATAAAAATGCATTAGTAAATGGAGAGGATAATGAAATTGAAGAACTTGAATTACCTAAGTAAGATATAGAATGAAATATTTCATTATTTACTTTGAACTTTTAATAATAAAACGGTTTGTTTGTTCGGAAGGTCAGCTCTATCTTTTGACAATTGTGAAAATCAAGAATTTGAAGGTAATGATTTAAGTTAAAGTGTCAATTTTATCTGTAGTAATTTTTTAACCTTTTTAATTATTTTACAGAACAAACGCCAATAACAAGCGATGTTTGGAATAGTTTACTTTTGGATAAAAATGCTTATGTTGAAGATAATGAAAGCATTGAATCGGTTATCAAAAAATTCAAAAGACTGGAGTCAGAGCCATTTAAAATGTCACCAAATAACCTCAATGAAGATGCATCAATTAATTATGATGATGTATCTACCTTTGATACGTTTATGTCAATGGAGCCAGATGAATTTTATGCTTTTTGGTTGTCGCAAATGTCACCAGTTTTTCAGAAGGAATATGATGATCATGATGATATGCTTCATAAAGCTATTTATGTTTGGAATGAAGATGAGTTAGAACAACAAAAGAAATCTGTTACAAAAAAATTAGGAAAATTAAATGAGTGTGATGAACAAAAAGCGATTGCTTTAAATTTCTGGCAAAATTTTTTGAAGGTTACAGCTGAATTTCGCAGGATAAATTCTGACATTAATCAAAATAAGAATGAACTTAATGATAAACAAGATCTTGAAATTGAAATGTCAAACAGTCCTATGGATTTAAAAGAACAAAAACATAAAGAGGTATATAGGAGAGAAACAAATCACCTAATACAAAAGGTTGTGCATACAATAAAAAAATTAAATATCAATTTTGAATCATTACTCTTGCCGGTTAATCATGTATCTTTTTATCACACTTCAACTCTTGATATACCTTTAAAAGATAAAGAAACCGTTGCAGGTAAGACTTTATTTTAATACACTGAAACCGTTCTTATTTGATATTACAATAATTTATATATTCTCATTATTAAAGAAATTAGTGATTTCGAGGAAGTTGAATTGCCAAAAAAACCTGGTTATCAGTCTACAAAAATTAATCCGCCATTGATGCCAACTTCGAATTTTGATGTGGAAATTGACATGAATACCAGTGTAGACTTTTCCGATGCAGAATGTGAGAGTCAAACGAACGAGTTAATTGATGCTTTAGAAGTTGAGGGTCAAAACAATATATCCATTGAAAAATATATCAAAATTTCTTCTGAAGATGATGGAGAATTTAATTATAAAGAAAATATCGAACATGCAATTAACAGTTCTGATGATGAGATTCCAAAACAACTCACAGAAGAAGAATCAGAATTTGCTAGGTTTCTATCAGAGTTAAAGAAAAAGGATTTAGATTCAATACAACAAGAATTAAATACTGAAGTTCAGCAACTAAACGAGCAAAGAAGACGGGAAAAACGAGATGCCGATAGTGTAACACAAACAATGATAAATGAATGCCAAGTACGTTTATTGAATTTTCATCTCAATGTTTTATTTCAATGATAATATAATTGCCTTAATTGACTCGATATTACGATAGAAACTCTTGCAACTATTTGGTATTCCATATATCATAGCACCAATGGAAGCCGAAGCACAATGTGCCGAATTGCTTCGTCTCGAACTTGTGGATGGAATCGTCACTGATGATAGTGATGTCTTTTTATTTGGAGGAACGCGGGTTTACAAGAACATGTTCAATCAACAAAAATATGTTGAACTTTACCTTTTACAAGATTTAGAACAAAACATGGGAATAAATCGTGAAAAGTTGATTCATTTAGCTATACTATTAGGAAGCGACTATACTGAAGGTCTACCTGGTATCGGAGTTGTTAGCGCCATAGAAATTTTAAATGAATTTCCTGGTGAAAAAGGTTTAGAACACTTTAGAAATTGGTGGCTGGACGTTCAAAATGGAACGAGTGGACCAGAAAATAATGAGAGTGATTTCAAAAAGAAATTTGTTAGTATATAATGTTTGTTAATGATACATATATATGTGTGTATTTATGAATATATGATAATATTATTAATTCATATTACAGCGTAAGAAGATGAAAGCTTTAGTATTATCAAAGAACTTCCCAAATCACCGTATATGGGACGCATATCTTAGACCACAAGTAGATGATTCAAAAGTTCAATTTCAATGGACCATTCCAGATTTAGATGGCCTTCGAGAGTATGTATTTAGTTTTTTTTAAAAAAAGTGTTTTATTATTATTAAAATGATAACTATTAAATTAGATTCGTAACTTTTTAAGTTTTTTGATGGAAAGTTTCTCATGGTCTCATGAGAAGGTTGATGAAACACTTGTACCGCTTATGAAAACTTTTGTTAAGAAGGTAAATGAACAAATCGATTTTATATTGATAATTCGTTAATATATTCTTAATTGTTAAATAATTATTTAATGTAAATAGTCAGATGAAAGAAATCAAATATCTCTGGATGGCTTTTTTGCTTATCCGATAAACTGTAGTAAGTCACATAAAAGTACGAGAATACAGCGTATTGTGGATTCTTGGAAACGTGGTGAAACTTATAATAATGTAAATCGAAGTAATGATGGTAATGAATCATCTCAAAGACGGAAGAAGCGATCACAAAAAGAATCAGACGATGTTATTACCATTGGCTCGTCAAGTAATTCAGAGCAAGATGAACCCATTCATAAAAAAAAGAAAAGACAAAAAACCAAGAAAAGTTCTTCAAAATAATAAAACCTTAGATTTGAACTGAAAAAATTCGCATGTGACAAAATTTAATAAACCACAGCCTTGTTTCTTCCCAAGCCTCATACTAAGCTACAAAAATTTTAATCAAAGCCCCGATCTATCCGGATGGCTATGTATGGGCATAGTACATTGCTATCGTTATAAAAGGATATTAAAGTGGCCATGCTATATTCAATGAACTGTATATTCCGTAATTTTTTTTTTATGTTGGACAGATTTCTCCAAAAGTCCTAATTATAAATGTGGCGAGTAACTATTATTGTGGCAATCAATATTTTGGTTGAAAAAAATTAATCACGATTGATATTGTTTTCAAGCCAGAACATTCTTTTCTTAAAATGTGGCAAATATTAAGTAATAATACATCATCCCAAAGATATTATGTCTATTCTGAAACGGAAAACCCCCTCAAAAAAACTTGTACATAACATATCCGTCCTTTCCTCCCACAGCCTCTCGGGGTGATAATTTCTTGTATATATATATATATATATAATTATTAAAAAAAAAATATTTCTTAAAGTCCCGTCACTTTTTTTTATCTGTAACTAAAAAATTAATAATAAATAAATAATAAATAAATAAAGACGTTTTCATTTATTAAAATCCAAACAACAAAAGTTTTATTGACCAAATAATAAGTTTCGCGTTCTTTTTGTATAATGTCTTATCAAGGTGGGTATCCTCCCCCAGATCCACAACAGTATGGCGGTTACCCTCCAAATTCAGAGCAACCACAGCAAGGTTATCCTCCAATTCCAGGTCAAGAACAGCCACAACAAGGTTATCCACCGACATTACCAACCGCGTCTTTTTTAAACACTGACCCGGCAGCACAACCTTTGCTACCTAGTGGTGGTGGTTCGGTTTCGTTTGCACAAGACCCAGAACAACTTTCAAAGCATTATGGTCAAGCTCCTGTACGTCAACCACGTCGTTACAAAACAACAAAACGTGTTGAACTTTTCCAAGGAAATTTAGTTTTAGATTGTCCTGTACCCACAAAACTCTTACAAATGGTTCCTAGAAAAGATGATAGAGAATTCACTCATATGAGGTATACTGGTTGTACTTCCGAACCTGATAACTTTAAAAAGAATCTATATACGCTTCGTCAACAAATTTACGAACCTTCTAGACAAACCGAAATGTTCATTGTGCTTACTATGTATAACGTAAGTAGCATTAATGTAAAATACACAATGTATGATTATGTTAAATCATCCGGACTTAAGGTTTAACTTACTTATCCTAAAATTATAGGAAGATGAAATTCTTTTTGCCCGTACTTTTCATGGTGTTGTAAAAAACATAGCTCATCTTTGTTCTCGTGATAAATCCCGTGTTTGGGGTAAAGATGGGTGGAAAAAAGTGGTAGTATGTATAGTATCTGATGGTAGAAAAAAGATTAATCCTCGTACTTTATCTTATTTGGCTGCTATTGGTGTCTATCAAGATGGTATAGCCAAAAACAAAGTTAACGACAGAGATGTTACCGCTCACATTTTTGAATACACCACCCAAATTTCAATTGATCCTGATATGGTATTCAAGGGTGCTGATAAGGGGATTGTCCCTGTTCAAGTACTTTTTTGTCTAAAGGAAAAGAACGCGAAAAAGATTAATTCTCATCGCTGGTTCTTTAACTCTTTTGGTAGCATACTTAATCCAAATGTTTGTGTCCTCCTCGATGTTGGTACCAGACCTGGTGGCACCTCTATTTATCATTTGTGGAAGGCTTTCGATATCAATTCAAATGTTGCAGGCGCTTGTGGTGAAATTGTTGCTATGAAGGGTAAAGCTGGTGTGAATTTGTTAAATCCAGTGGTAGCATCTCAAAACTTTGAATACAAAATGTCAAATATCTTGGATAAACCTCTTGAATCTGTCTTTGGATATATCACTGTGCTACCGGGTGCCTTCTCAGCTTATCGTTACATTGCTCTACAGAATGATCAAAATGGAAATGGCCCATTAGCTTCTTATTTTCTGGGTGAGGCTCAACATGGTGGTGATGCTGATATTTTCACTGCCAATATGTATCTTGCCGAGGACCGTATTCTTTGTTTTGAATTGGTAGCGAAGCGTAATTGTTCTTGGGTGCTGCATTATGTGAAATCTGCTTATGCCGAAACCGATGTACCCGATACGGTTCCTGAATTAATTTCACAAAGACGACGTTGGTTGAATGGATCCTTCTTCGCCGGTGTTTATGCTATTTGTCATACTTTTGCCATTTGGAGAAGTGACCATTCCGCCATTCGTAAGGTCTTATTACACGTTGAAATGTTTTATCAAGCTTACAATTTATTATTCTCTTGGTTCGCTTTGGTAATCTTATATTCAAATACATATATCGTGATATAATTTGTTTATGATTTCAACTAATATTAAATTTTTTTTAAAAAAAAAAAAATTATCATGAATTAGGGTAATTTCTATTTAACTTTTTATATTTTGGGTAATTCTCTCACACATGAAGATGTCGTTGAAGGTCTTTGGAGTGTGGAAGCCGGGGAAATTATATTTCAATTATTACGATACGTTTTTTTGACACTGCTAATTATTCAATTTATACTTGCTATGGGTAATCGACCTCAAGGGTATCTATTTATTATTTTATATTTATATTTTAATAATTCTACCACATATTCAATCAATTAATCAATACTTTATCCTTTTTAGTTCAAAGTGGGCATATATATTTTCAATCGGATTCTTTGCAGGTCTTATGATTTATATGTTGTTTGCGGCTGGTTGGCTCACTTATAAAGGAATATCGATTCAGATGGGAAATCTTAAAGATCAGAATCAAATTACCGGAAATAATGTTAGCACTGCTAGTGCTATAATTAATGATTCAACTTTCCGGAACATTATTCTTTCCGTTATTTCAACTTACGGGTTATATTTTGCAGCCAGTTTCTTATTCTTTGAACCTTGGCATATGTTTTCAAGTTTTATACAATATTTGTTATTGGTTCCATTCTATATTAATATATTAAACGTTTACGCCTTTTGTAATGTACATGATGTCAGGTAATTACTGGTTTCCTTTCTCTTTTTTTTAAAAAAAAAAAAAACTAATTTTAATCTATTATTATTATAGTTGGGGAACTAAAGGTGACACGTCAGTAAAACAAGATTTGGGTACAGTTAATACCACAGGGAAAGGTGAAGTTGAAGTCGAGGTTCCAGTTGAACAAAAAGATATTAACTCCTTATATGATGAAGCATGTAACGAATTAGCGCGTCTCCCAGAAGAAGAAGTTAAGCATCGTTCAAAGTCCGAAAAACAAGATGATTATTACAAGGCTTTCCGCACTCAAGTCGTATTATGCTGGATTCTTTCCAATGCCGCGTTAGTTGCTGGTATCACGAATGGCAGTAATACAATAAATTCGGTGATTCCACAAGCCGAACGTAGTAATAATTATATGGCATTTGTACTTTGGTCTGTGGCTGGGTTAGCCGCTTTTAGATTTTTTGGTAGTTGTACATATTTATTGTTTAGATTGTTTACTGGTTAGTTAGATTTGCTTCATAAATGTTATTATTTATTTAGAATAATATTTATTAGATAGTATTTAAATGTAAAACAGATAATTTATGATTTAACAATCTATAATTTAATTATAATAATAAAAAAAAAAGGCTATGGTGTTATAATTCAATTTCACGTGTAAATAATTCAAATCCTTTTACCGTATTTAAGATCTTTTAATACTCACCAACTCATATCATTTATTATTAAATAAAAAAAGTATATAATAAAACAAATGATTCGAGATATTATCATGTGATCGTGTTGGAATGCGGAAAGTTCGAGGAGGTCCGGGTGAGAATATATTGTCGTAAAGAGCAACAGAGACCCTTGGTAAAGTCAAGCCTTATTTATGTATTGTGGACGGTAAGCGCGAAAGAATTCTAAGAATTGGATGCGATGACAATTAGACCCGTTTGTAAAAATCTGAACTATACACGTGATGACGGCTATTTTTCTATACATCTCCATTGTTCTTGAATGGTTATTAAACATAGTGGTTTCAGGGTAGATTTTCGTAGACAATTGCTGGTAGTAAGTAGCCTCTCGGTAAATTGGTTGTCTTATCCTATACATTAAATTTTCGATAATTACTAAAATTAAAATTCATATATAACATATTAATAAACTTTATATCAAATTAAAAAATTTTTTGAATTATAGCTCAATAATTAATAATCCATCAAATAAAAACGGTATATTTTATAAAAAAATATCTGTTCTATAATTTTTATAAATAAATTAGTCCATTTTTAACTATTTCTAAAATTCTTTGATTATTTTTATTAAAATTACTTATTATTCTTAATTATTTAAACATTTAAATTTGCATTTTAAATTCAATATTAATTGTATTTTAAAATTATTATAAACAGGTTATAAATTTATCATTATTTTTCTTTAAAAAATGAAATTATTTTAATGAATCCAATAAGCTACCAATAAAAAGAAACTATTCAAATACCTTATCTACCATTATGATTCTTGTAAATTAAATATTAATAATTCATTATTATTCTAATTAAAAATAATTAAAAAATCATCCCAAAAAAACAATTCATCATTATTCTATTAGAATGAATTTTTTATCATTTAAAAAAATTCATTATATATAAATAGAAAATTTATTTTATTTAAATGATAAAAATCATTTTAGTAAATAAAAATAAATCTGTAACTACTAGATTGCAACTAGTTGTAAAATCTTAAATATAAAATTATAATATAAAAATCTACAGCTAGTATTTTAAATGAAACCATTTTCTCAAATCTGAAACTTTTTGCCTAGTAAACTTTCAGTTTAGCTGCAATTTTAAATTCGCATTCATAAAGAACAATCATTAAATAAACTAAAAATGTAGTGAATTTCACTATAACAGCAATTTATATTCGCAATAATAGAATGATTGTTAAATAAATCAAAAATGTAGCAGATTCTGATGCAGCAAACAACTGTAATTTTATATTCTAAATAATAAGAATGATCATTAAATATATCAAAAATTGATAACTGTAATTTTACATTTATTACCATAAAGAACAATCGTTAAATAAACTAAAAATGTAGCAGATTTCACTACTATAACAATTTATATTCATAATATTAAGAATAATTGTTAAATAAATCAAAAATATGACAGATTCTAGGATAAGATAAGAGAAAATATAAAGAGAATATGTTAATAGGATATAAGATGGTCAGTTTTTATTGATAAAAGAAATTATTATATCAATGAAAATTTTCATACTACAAAAAAGTTTTTATTATTTTTTTAGATAAAAATATAGTAAAAAGTTCAAGTAAAAGAAATAACAAGTTCTTAAGTAATAACTGATAAGTAACAAAAAGGTTCAATGTTGATATTATGCAAAAATCTATAATTTTATTGTTTAATTTGATATAATCAAGATTATTATATTCTAGCTTAAATGATGCATTATATTTTCCATCTTGTGTTTATAAATTCTTATAAAAAAATGCCATCATAAGCTAAATCTATTAAGATATAAACAATCATATTGCTTGATCTTTTACTCAATGAAATTTGCTAATATTTTGATTCTTTCATAAGCTTGCCAAGCAGTTGGTCTAGATGTTGTTTCACTCTGCATCCATTTTCCTACATCCATAATCCCTGCAGAAAGACCAACTGATAATCTTGCTGCATAATCTATTAAATGCCCAACACCCCAAACATCAACTTCTCCACCATGATCATCATGAAAAACTTCTGGTGCATGAGTTTCCTTTGCAAGATGCATTGCTGCAAAGGTTGGAGGAGAAACTGCATCATCAAAATCAATAAGAAACCACTTTGATGGTTTATTTCCATTTGCTTTTTGAATAACATTAGACCAACGGATGTCCCGGTGGAAAATAGGATTACTACCATGCATACTCTATATTAGAAAATAATATCAATGTTATATTGAGATATAAATATCTATTTGGAATTAATTAATTAATTGATACCTACCATAAGTGCCTCAAGTACACATAAAACAGCTTCAATCACTTCTTTTTCTGTTTTTGGATAAACACACATACCTCTTGGTTCCAAATACAAATAAGGTTTTATTTCATCAGGCAAACTTACAGCAACAATATGATCAACATTTGGTACATTTTTATGCAATAATTTCTCATAGATAACTTTTAACTTTTCAATATGAATCTGTGAATTTAAACCAATGAAAATCTTCTTGACATTTGTGGGATTCACAGTAATAATATGGTCATCTCTATGATAAGAAGAAAAAATTATTATATAAATGATATACTATAAATAAAGAAGATGAAGTGTCTCTAAGTTAACATTATCAACATGCTTTTCAATTGGAAGAAGTTCAGGTGCACCACGCCATCCAATTATTTCCTTGAGTGGATCTAGAAGCAGAGCCAAGTTGAACATTCGTCGCAAGTTAATAATGCGTTCATTTCTATACCTTAGATTTGAACTCGCAATATTGATGACTTGTGGTTTATTTGAATCAGAAGAAGGTCGGCAAATGGCAACAAATGTAACATTTGTTCCTTCAGCATAGTATCCCATAACATATGGTGCTGCACCATATGCCCAAATCAATTTATCTCTAAGTTCTGCTTTTGGATCTTCATTGCTCATTTCTGGTTTTTCTTCTCCTCTAAATGTACAAATTTGACCAACAATAAACCCATAATCAGGTCGTTTATTAGCAGTACTTATATGCTGAGAAGTATTTCGAACAGATATCCCATTTGGAATTAGAAGTTCAAGAGGACTTCGGATATTTAAATCCCAAAATAAATGATAGGTGTCCTCTGTTGAATTAGATGGAGGGGCATTTTTTGTAATTATCTGACCAACCAACTGACTGAGTAAAAAGAAGGAAGTTTGTTCTTCACTAATTCTGAAGATAATGTTCAGATCATTTTCTGTACATGAACTTGGATATTCAAAGCTAATAAAAGGTTGTAATTGGTCTTGAGAAAGAGGTAATTTCAAAGTTTCAGGAATAGGTTGATCAAGAAAATCAGCAAGTTCATTGACAGAAGGTAACGTTGGCTTAGGTCTTTTCTTAATCATATCAATTATTAATTGAGAGCTCACATCTTCGATTGATCTTTTTTGAGGAGTTTGTGAAACTAATAATAATAACGATAATGGATGATAATTTGTAATGAAAAAATTTATTCAATAGGTAAGAAAATATGATAAGTGATAAAAATAATTGATGCAATAATATAGTGCTTTTCAATATTATTACTCTCACCTAATAAAGTGTAAAATGTTGGAATATAAAGAATGGAAAAATAAACATGTGAAAAAAGCACAAGTTAGTTAAAGTTGTAAACAATACTTCAAATAAATAAACGAAATGGAATTAACGAAAAATATTTTTTTGTATTTTTTTTAACAATTTGTTCGTTACCTTTTTCACCAAATTCAGCAACTTTATTTGTTAAATTTATGACCAACTCTCCCCACTCCTTCTTCTCCTTCTTCAACTCTTCTTCTTCTTTCTCCAACTCCTCCTTTTCCTCTTCTAAATCTTTTTTATCCTCCTCCAATCTTTTCCTTTCTTCCTCATTTTTTTCGTTTCTTATGTTTCTGCTCAACTTCCTCACTTCATTTTTCAACTCATTCAACCTCTCTCCTCGACTTGAAATACTAAATACATCCAACTTCTTTTCCGCCTTCACCAATCTCTCTTCTGCCTTCTTCTTATCCTCTCTTATCTCTTCGATAGTTATCATTTTTAATATTTAAAAAATTTAAAATTAATTATAAAAAATTTTTTTTTATTTATTGATTTAGTTACAATTAATTATTTCTATAAATAATTTGGATCAATGATAAATTAGTAGGCACATGACTTGGAATTAAAATTTTTTAGTTTAGAGAAAAAAAGATTGAGCTAAATTTGTATTTCGTTCGTTAAATTTGCTTATTTTTGCTTAGTTTATTATTTATTTCTTAATTAGCCTTTTTTGGCTTTTTTGGCTTTTTTAGTGTCGTACGAGAAATATTCCGTTTTATATATGTTGTTTCGTTTCGCTATACTTTGCTATACTATGCTATTCTGCTAAATGCCTCCACAATTTTTTTCTTCGTAAAAAGGTTCTTTATATAGAAAGTAAAAAAAAAATTTTTAATTTGATCTAAAATTTGCAATAAATGCTTAGTAATACAAAATATAAAAAACCAACTTTCTGATATAATATGGTTAATATTAGTGAACCAAATGATTTGAAATCAATACGTTGGGCTGAACGATAAACCGGCTAATATTGGCAAATCGGGCAGGATTAGATCGATTTAGATATAAAAATTCATGACGAGATTTGAAATAAAAATACCTATATAAGTACAGTCAGTACCTTGAATACCTTGAATATTGATTGATTAAAAATATTTTTAAAAAAAAATAATTTTTTTAATTACCTCTTTTTATAGATGCCGAAAGTCACTCCGGAATCCTGAATCAAAGGTTAATATTTATATATTTTTTTTTAATTACATTAAAAAGATTTTTAATTTATACTTACCTCTCTTTGTAGATTTCCGAAGCCCGGAACCTGGAATCCTGGATTGAATGAATTGGAGGTAAGTTATGTTATTTGTTATTTAAAAAAACTATTTTTACTTACCTCTTTTTGTAGACGCCAAAGGTTCACTCCGGAACTCTGGAATAAATCGAAGGTTAGTATTTTTTTTTATTTTTTTTTTAAAAATAATTAAATTAAAAAAAAAAAGAATCCTTCTTTGTAGGTTGGCGAAGCCTTTCGGAATCTTGGAATTGGATTGAATGAGGATCGGAGGTAAGTAATATTGTTTTCTTTTTAAAAATATAAAAAAATTTAAATTTTTACTTCTCTTTGTAGTTCCGAAATCCTGGGATGGGCTGAATGATGAACACGAATGACCGATTTTGATTGGTCCGAAGTTTTGACTAAGTTTAGACGTTTCGACGCCTATTTAAACCGCCGAAACCTGTCGAAACGTTTAGACTTTCGACGGATTTAGTTTCGACTTTCGACATTAGCCTATTTATTTAGAGTGCATTTATGATCAACATGCATAAATACTAAACAAAAATGACTTTGCATCAAATTGATTTACATCCTCCTTTTTTTCTTCTAAAAAAAATTTTTTTTTTTTTAATATTAACATTAGAACCATTCGCATTTTTTTTTTTTAAATTTAATTTCTTTGAGGTAATTTTTAATTTTTTAATTTTTTATTCTTTCTCTTTCACCTATTGTTCTAAATACGTTATTTTTAAATATTACATTCTAATTTGAATAATTGTATAAATAATTATTAGTTTGTTAACAGACTATTTAGTTTTTACTTGGTATTTTCTAATTTTTAAATTTTTATTTTTTATTTTCAAATTGATGTTATGTTCTAATAATATTTATTTTTTTAAAACTTTTATTGAAATTAACAATTTGAAGAATTTTTTTTTATAATATAACATGTTATAATATTTTTTTTTAATATTTCTTTAATTGCAAATTTTAATATTTTTAAAATTTTTTAGTATGTCTTTTAATAAATTAATCATTATTTTTAAAGAACTTTCTGAAGAACGTAGATGGGTTTTATTTGGAGAATTGAAACAGTTGAAAAGATTTCTTAATGATAATGAAGATAATGGAACTTTTGATTATGTAAGTATATTTATTAATTAATTATTATTTATTTGTTTGTAAAATTTATAGAAAAATGATTTTTATAGCCAATCCTTTCCTAATTTCACAATATATCATTATAATATATGGAAGATATGGAAGGTGGTTAGCAAGAGTTATTTTAATCAATTTTTATTTAATAAAGTTAAGAGTGTGATTTTTATAGCCAATCCTTTCCTAATTTCACAATATATTATTATAATATATGGAAGATATGGAAGGTGGTTAGCAAGGGTCATTTTAATCAATTTTTATAATCTTTATTATATTAAAAGAGTTAACGAATTGTTAATTTTATAATTGAAGCTAATGCCTTGATTTTTTTTTACAAAAAATCATGATTATTCTGTCTTTTTATATGAACGTTAATGGATTGATTGATAATTTTAAAATTAAGAATAGAACCTTGATTTTTTTTTACAAAAATCACGTGACTATTCTGTTTTTATATAAGTTTATATTGATCGATAATTTTAAAATTAAGGGTAAAACCTCGAATTTTTTTTTGAAAATCACGTGATTATTCTGTATTAAGATATTGATTGATAATTTTAAAATATAAGGGTAAAACCTTATTTTTTTAATGAAAAATCACGTGACTATTTTGTCTTTTTAAATATATTTTTATTATGTCTTAATTTTTAATATTTTAATAATAATTTAAATTATTTTTTTTATAAAGGATTCTATAACAACTTTTAAATGATATTTAGATGAAAATAAGCAATTACATTCAGATTTAATTAAAAGTTGGAATCAATGATATTTTATTACACAAGCAAATTTAGGAAAATAAAATTACAAAATATTTGGTTGATATAAATGTACAATATAGACCAGATTTAAAAGATAAATATTGTGAAAATTTGTTTCTTGTGGTGAATATCCTGGATATATTAATTTGTTAAATGATTTAACAATAATTAATAAGAATCAATTGGTAATTTTAAAGTATAATGATGAATTGGTTGAGGCAGTTAATTGAAATATAGCTTCTAAAGAGGTATTTCATCATTTTGAAATTAAAATAAAACTTACAATAGATGCTTATTATCCAATTAAACGTGAAAAAAAACATATGGGTTTAGGTATAATAGTGGGTTAAGGTGATCGTAAAAATTCCTTAGATTCAAAAATTGGAAAATATGCATATAAAGAAAAAGTTGTAAATCATAAAGTTCAAAGGATTATAGAAGATGATGGAAATACCTTAGCAGAATGGCTATATACTAATGCAAAGTATCATTTACTTTGGGTCATAGTTTCATATGAAGAATTTCAAGAAAAATGTAATTTAGATAAATAAAGTATGGTAGGCGCAATCTTTTGTGTTAAAAATTATGAAGCTATTGGACATATTGATAATGATAGATCGGAGTGGGCAATAGGATTTGTTTATAATGAAGATGAAGTAAATGAAGGGTATTTTTTTTATCCTGAATTTAGTATTGTAATAGAAATGACATCAAATTCAATATGGTGTTGGAAAACAAAAGCTGTATATGATACAGCCAAACTTAAATTAAGTACAAATTCAAATCAATATACATGTGCTTTATCTTTAACAGAAAAAACAGCTTGTACTATCACTAGTCGAAATAATCCAATTTGTCACTTTTTTAAAGTGCCGAATGTTGGCCAAAATATAATCTAATTTCTGCTGATCATTGCCAAAACAATTGGCATTTTTAGTTATAGCTGATGTTGCCTAATTCAGATGCCACACAAAATAACATTCGACATTAACGATTAGTAGTAGTTTGATACGTTTGATATAATTGGCTTAAATTCGTTTAACTAATAAAACAAACAAAATTCGACTTAGTTAATAAAAAGTTCGGTAATATTTCAGCTATATGTTTGATAAATCGGCTT